CGTAAGGCCCTGCAGTTTTCTTTGTCCTGTGTTTACATGTTGCTTTTCTTTGGGCACCTCTCTGCCCCCTTTCTCCTATCACACTACATGTATGTGGAGTCATGTCATTCTTCTTTTGATTTTTAAGTTTTGTTTTTGTTATGAAATAGATCATAATGCAGAAGAGTGTATAAAAATAGAATAATTATAGAACAAGCACTTACGTAACTACCACCTAGGTTAGTAATGTCATTTACTCTTATGATTTAACTTAAGCTTGTATACTGCTATCTCCCAAGTGTGTATATTCTAGCCTCTAACTACCTGTTGAATATCTTCTTTCTGAATGTTCTGTGGGTACCTCACAAGCATGATTGATACATCTCAAATGAATCTCATCTTTTTTCCTAAGCTTGTTTTTCCTCCTGGTTTCTCCCATCTTAATTGATGGTATTGTCATCCACTTGTGTCTCCTAAACAAGAACTTTTGAACTTCTTCCTTCAGCCCCCACTTGAACTTTTCACCTGGAATGTCTCCATTTTGCCTCCTCTCTTCATGGTCACAGCTCCTGCATTTCCCAAGTTAGGTGTCTTCATTTCTGTTTCATTTATCTGATTCATCACTATTTCTACATGGGACTGTTTGCTGCTGGAGGAAAGGGACTGTGTTCTGTTCAACTCTATATCCTACTAGTGTGTGCTTTGAACTCAGTAAGTACTGAAGGAATGTTTTAAGGCAATTTTACTTGAAAGGCGACTGAACAATATCAGTTAAATGTCAGTACATTTTACTGTTCAAGATGTATGTAGTAAGTTGAAATAAAGTATTTGTGTAAATAAAATCAACATTTTAATTGAAAGCAAATTTTATTTGAGTAAGTGTAGGTTTAGATGAGTTAAGCGTTACTATTAGCTAAGTAACAAGAGAGAAGAATGCCCCTTTTAACTTAGTACTTTCTGTCTTCCCTTTTCTTGCCTTTCAGGAAAGGCTAGTAGGAAAAACCAGAAATGGAGAGGACCGGATGAAAACATTAGGGCAAATCTTCGTCAGTATGGTTTAGAGAAGTATTATCTTGATGTCCTGGTTTCAGATGCATCTAAACCTTCCTGGAGGAAGGGCGCGTATTTTGATGCAATCATCACCGATCGTAAGTTTATTTTTATATGAAAGTTGGAGTGGGGTTAGTACAGAATTTATCAACACACACGTGAAATACCAGCTTATACTCGTATTCCCCTTGCTTCCGACTTCTTCATAATGAGCAGGAAAAGATTATGAATATAGGGCAGGATACCAATTTAAGTAATTAAGAGTTTACTGTTTTGCTTTTTTAAACTATATATATTAACTTGTCATCCCTTTTTCTCTTCAGCTTATTTTTTGAGGCATATATTTGTTTTTTCGTTTGTTTCATATTTGACTGTAATTGGTTAGTATACCCACTGGAGCCAAAATGTCATTTGCAATTATGGTATCAGATTTCAAACAAGAGAGTTTCAGATATCACATATTTTTCCACGTGTAAGCTTTTGTGTTGGTAGCGCCGATTTTCACTGGCATCTTCTTTCTAGAGTTACAAGAAATTTGGGATTCTGTGAACCACTGGGCTTGTGAACCCACTGAGATTCAGGAATGTGCATGAGAACTATTTTCCCATGCCTTGTGAGTTCTTGGGCCTTTTAGGCATCCTATCTAAGAATAGATCTGCCTTTTCTAAAGTATTTGGCAGTAAATCTGTAAATAGTGGCAAGTGTGTCTCAATCCTGCCATCTCAGCCCACTTCAGTTCTTTGGTAACTTAGACGGTTTCAAATACGACAAAAGAAAAATTATCAAGGCATTGTAATGTCAGTATGAATATACTTTATGAAAATTGGGTGACTTTTTATTAACAATCTACTTTATTATTTGCTCTCNGTGTAATAAAAGGAGTGCAGCCCCTGTTGAAACTTTATCATTGTAAAGTGATAGACACAGGAGCCAGGTGTTGGGAAACTGACTGTCCTGTTTCTAGGAGGAGACTGTGAGGGGGTGGGGGGAGAGGAAGTTAGGAGAGAGATCATTGATCTCTGTAGGGCTGTGTAATAGTCTCTGCTTCCTATTTTGTTCGCAATTCTTTGTAGTCCCCTTTTCCTGAGTTGCATAGTTCATCTAGTAAAATTTCTACATTCTAGCAATATCCTTTTTCTTCGGCTACCAGTTTAACTAATTTGAACTTTTTTTTTAAGGATAAAATAGATATAATAGTATCTCCATTTTTTCTCCTTTTCTCCTTTTCTTTCAGCAAAACCAAAGCCCAGTCTCTCATGTCCACACCTGTGAAGCTTTCCACTTAAATCTCTAAAAATGAAAATTGTAAATTAATTTCTCTATCATAAATAAATTACACTTAGTGTCCTTTTGTCTATAAGATATTACCCTAACCTTAACGTGGTTACTATTTAAGTAATGCAAAATTAAAACACTGAGTTTGGTATTTTGACACTTGATAGCATGTAATAAGATTTTGGGTGAGTCACATTACCTGCCTCCTCAACACTTCACCCCTCCTTTATGTTATCACCCCTTCCAGCAGAAAGCTTCCAGGGAAACTCCAACTGAGGTATAACTAAATGCAAAAAATGCTTCAATTTAATGGAAAAAACAACCAGATGATTAACAGTGTTTCCTTAGTGGTCAGTTCAGAGAAGCTAATTTACAATGATTATATTTAAAACTTTAAAAGCTTAAAGGGCACAAAGTTAACTAACGGATGCAGTCTAACAGATTATTCATCTCCTTTCAGCAGTGTACTCTATATTGGGTCTTCTCAAAACTCACTCTAACCAAATGGATAAGGTTCTGTTTAAGGAAGCACAGGAAAGTTTTTCTGTTCCCCTTGACAACTAGTTCTTCTAGGTGAGTATCTGCTCTCATTGGCAGAATTGTAGTAATTCCTCCTAATTTGGGTGAAGTGATTTTGTGAGTATTCCAAGTCATCACATATAGTAGTACCTTTCATAAATAGGGACTGTTCCATTTATAGAGTAAGAATTATGAGGTCTTACCTGTCACACAAAAATGTTTTTTGTAGTTAGTATGAGCGAATCTAGGTTTTGGTTTCTGCTGTACTTTTGGTCCTCCATTTTTCTTCTTCATGGAAGCAGTCAGCTATAATATTTTTCATGAGAAAACTGTTTGTAAGTACGTATTACCAGACTATGCTTTAAATGGCTATGGAGGGAACACCATTAATTGATAGATCTTGACCCTCTGGAGGCACTACCCATCTTTATTTTAGAGATTACATTTCAAAAGGCTGTGAGGAGAAGTAGCCCTAGTTATTCTTGTTTGAGTCTGTGCTAGTCTAAAAATATATTTCAGGTTTCAGTTTGACTGACAGACCTTTCTATCGCACAGCTATTAGGACTTGCCCAAGCAGCAAGAGCATTTTAATTTTGATGATTAAAAAAAGGTGAAGTTTGATGAAAAGTACAGTTATTAAAATATTGAACTTTGAATTTTTTCTTAAACTATTTAAAAATATTACTGCCTTTTATTTTAAAGGATTTCATTAATTTTTAAATCTTTATTAGGATTTTTCTTTTTATGTGAGCTGGTTATACCTACCAAATTATTTTGTACATTCAAATTGTATAGAGACATTTATTCTTACTTTGATCATAGCACTAAGTAAACAGAAAAGTCTTTGTATTAATGATTTTGGGGTATGTTTGATAATAGTTATTCAGAAATTTGTATTTACAGTTTAAAACGAGATACTTGCTTCACTGGTTATAGGACTAACTACTTCTTGTCCTAATATTTTAATTTTTTGAGGACTGATGTCTTACATATTAATTATGCCCTCCGTAGGTATTTGAAACTTTCTTCAGTGGGAATTGAACCCAGTTTCAGAACTTATTTATTGCCAGAACTTATTTATTGTGAACAACCTTATATGCTTATATGTAAGAAAGGACCAAGATAAGATGATAATAATGTGTTAATATACATTATTTTGACCAAAAAAATATAATTTTCCATAAGCAGTGCTGTTTAAAGCCAAGGCAAACATGAATTAACTGCTTTGTGAATAATGTTGTGAGCGTAGCTTAGGGCTTTGTTTTCCCAGTTCTGAAGCTGCTAAATGTGGCCAGGACCAGTGTCGGTCTAGGGTGCTCTGCCGGCAGCTAGTCTGTGAGAATCTGGATCAAATTAAATCGGGGAAGAAACAAGGGCCTGGACTTGCTGGTTAACAGCTCATCCTTGTGTGGTTTTTCAGGCGGCCTTCTGGTAGCAGCTGCTCACTTCGGCGCGTATGTGTATGGGACAGACATAGACTACAACACAGTGCATGGCTTGGGTAAGTACAGGCTCCCGACAGGGTTCAGTCTTTGCTGTTTTACCAAAGGTGCCTTTAGAATAGTTAGTTTTATATGCATTATACATCTTTTTTAATGTTAAAATAGAGTTGTGATATCATACAGTTTTACCTATTTTTACAATAAGACTTCATTGGGTATCTGCTTTTTACGAAGTGATCAGTACGTGCAAAGTGATATCTTCTGGGGGAACAGAACAATGAATAAGAAAAAGCCTTCCCCCCAGAAGCATTTGTGGTCCAATTAAGAGAGATTTTTTAAAAAGTAGGCCAACCATAAGGTTGTGAACTTTAGGGTCAGGAGAGAAGCAGGAGAGAGAGACTTACATTTTGTAATCAACATGTCCACGTTAATAAAATATATAGTTTCTATTTAAAGATTGCTTGCTTTTGAGTCAATTGCGGAAAATAGTTTAAAATCTAGAAGCTTCGCTAATGATGTGTGACTGGATGGAATTCAATCAAACTGAAAAAAGTAATTATAACTGAATGGTATTAAAAATGTCAGGTTTCATTGTTAATTTTGAAATTGTTTGTATTTATGTTAGTATTTCATTATTGTAATTAGAATCAACCTTTAAAAATGCTCTTTTCCTTTTTCTTACTCAGTGTAAGTTATTGTATAGGTAAGAATTTATTATACTTTATTTCCTTTTGCTGAAGCAATTTGATATACTGTACTTGATGACCTGTCTTTTTTTTCCTACCTTGACCAAAAGGAATTTAGTAATAAGAGTATTTATCAAAAGGAAAATGAGTTATATTTTATCAAGTTCACCTAAGTAAGCTAACCAGAGAAGATATTCTTTGTCTGCAATATGTTAGTGTAGACAAAGTGCTGAGAAGAATTATTTCAGTTTGCTTTTTGTAGAAGTCATATATTTGCTTTAAGTAAATTGTCCTGTATAATTTATTTGAATTTTTATTTATGAAAGTTGTGTTTAAAAGTTATGTTACAACCTTTCAGTGTACTTGGGTGGAATTCTGATCGATGTAGAGTTTCCTCAGAGCTTACCCAAGATGCTGTTAGATAGGCCCTCTGTTTCCTATGCTTCTAATCACTCACTGTACTCAAATATTCTCAAGTATCTCCTATTTTTAAAAATACGAAACCTTTTCTGTCAATGCCATAGGGGTCTTTTCTAGCTATCGTTTTTTTTCCTCTTACTTTTGCCAAAGTACTTTTTGAAAAACTAGTATTTACTTGGTGTCTCCTTTTCTTTATTTCCGATCTCTTGTGCCCATTATTGGCCAGCTCTCATGCCTACTGAAAACTCTTACTGAAGCCACAGATTTATAGCATTTGGCACTGTTGACCTTCATAANCTATACTTAGACATGGGTAGTTTCCAGTATTTTGCCATTACGAACAATGTTGGAAAGAATAATCTGGTGCATTTATACTTTCATAATGTTGGAGATACAGCTCTAGGGTAAACTAGAAGTAAGATTGATGGGTTGAAGAGTGCATGCACATGTGGTTTTGTTAAATGTTGTCAAATCGCTCTCTATTCCACCATTTCACATTCTTGCCAGTGATACATGAGAGTCCCTGTTTCCCCGTAACTTCACCAGCAGAGTGTATTATGAATCCTTTGAAATTTTGCCAATCTATTGGGTGAAAATGTTATCTCAATGCAGTGTTAATTTTTATTTCTCTTAATAGGAGTGGATGCTAGTAATTTTTTATATTTTAAGGGCCATTTTTATAATTTTTTAAATGATTGTTTATGTCATTTGCCCATTTTTCTGAAGACTTTTTGGTCTCCTTATTTTTAAAAGTGT